TCTTTTGTGAGCTGAAGTAAATTTTGATTTGTCCACCCCGGCAAACTGTTGCGGAGGGTGGATGGATTTTGCTTTAAGCGATTGATAGATTTATTTCAATTTTAAATATTTTTGGAATTTTGGGATTTTTGGAATTTTGGATTTTATGGATATTTATGGGTGGAGCTTTGAAATATTTGAAATGGACTTTTGGGAAACACTTTAAAGTATTTGGGAATCCCTCCGGTTGAGATCTGTATTCAACACGACCATCATCGGGGTGTTCGTGGTCATTTCTCTTTTATTGATTGAAACTTGTTGACTCTATCGAATTATCGATAGATGATCGGATTTCATATGTTTTATGCCCTTATTAGTGAATTCGTATTGTTATAGACCTTTGAAGGCCTAATATGAATGTATTAAAACAAATATACCGGTCACCATCACCGTATACTTGTTTGATTGTTCGAACCCTGTTAATTTCTATTGACCCAAATAGAAGGATCGGGTTCAAACTTGAATTCACTTATTGACCCGCACAGCTTCCCTAGACATCACGTGTGTACCAATAACATGCTCTCCGGGGCCCATGCGGGTGTTTGGGGGCATTTTATAATTATTTATCGGACCTTATCGACTCCTATTTATTTACTTAGGAGGATCGGGTCCATATTTGATAACCTGCGCAACATCCCTAGACGTCACATGTGTACCAATAACACGCTCGTCGGGGCCCATGCGGGTTCTTTGATTGCTTTTACCCCCTTTTAGTGTACCTATGTGTGTACAAACTAAGGTTCACGTGTAGGGGTATTTTGAAATATTTGTAAACGCCTTATGTCTGCTTGCATAGAAGTTGCGAATCCGGTGGCGTGGCGTATCAACTTCTGAATTGAGTTGTTCGCTAATTCGTACAGGTAGACTGTCGTGTACTACTTGCCTTTTGCAGATAGATTGTAGTGCACCAACTAATCTCCTGCTTTAGATCGTGGGAGCTTGCACTTGTCATATTCTTCATATATTTTATGGTAGTCTTTGATCTTTTCAGTACATTCGCCACTGGTGCATGTAGGTAGGTAGATGTATTTATTTACATATTGAAATTGACTTCAGGATACTGCGTTTACTGAAGTCTTTCTACATCTACCCATAAGTGGCATGTTATACATACATCCGTATTCATAGAAAGATTGTATGTATTGCAGATCTTTAGTCATCGTCATGAATAAATTGTAGCTTGTAGGATTAATCTTATTCTTCACTTTTACTTATAAGAGATTGATGTATCTAATTGATGGACCTTCATATTTTGCTCGCCTGTCTTTGAGCATTCATAAGGATCAATGTGTATGTTTGCAAGATAATTGACCTCAGTCGTAGAGAGGTTCTCAGCTCTACAGCTTGTCCACCACTGTCATTCATGAGAGAACGGGTACTCTGCTTGTCGGTTGACTCTTGCTACTTGACTATCCTTTTGAAAATGAGCCTTAATTTGCTATCATCATGGTTCTCTTAGATTAGCAAATGGATGGTTATCGAGAAGCCGTAAAAAGTCAGCATCCTCTAAGCCTTCCAACATCAATACTTCTTTCTTTTTGTAGGGGGTGGACATATATACTTGCTACAGTGATATTGCCAATGATAGGGACAATTATCGTTGGTTTTCATGTTCATCATACTTCTTAAGGATGAGTGTATCACTGCCCCACTCATAAATGAGTTGTTGCATGTACTTTGGAATAATCATTTACAAGATCCCCGCTGATGTCATTCTCCAATCCTGCTTGTAATGCATTGAATTCTTTCATTATTCATCATGTTTGCATTCATCTTATTCGTTACATATTGACCCTTTTTTATTGTGAGAATTGTTGCATTTCCTTATCACCTTCATAGTCTTCAAAGAGAGCTTGTAGTTTACAAGGGACTCTGTATGGATGATAGCTTCACTGTGCACCTTATGTCGATTGCTTGGCACCCATCATCTTCAATTTCTTAAGAGCGTGATAGAGACACAATACTTCTACTCATAGCATACCTCATTTTGGTTCAATCAATTGCTCTTTAGGAGTAAGTTATGCCTCATATTGCAAATCAACTATGATGCTTCAAAGTTCTCATATGATGGCTTTGTAACTAAGCCATACCCTTTCACCATTTTCCCTCTTTTTTGTTCATCAACATCTCCATTTCAATTGAGATGACAATTGCAAGTTCTTTATTTATCATAAATTTTGCATGTGTCTTCTTGCACTTAATCTTGTAGGATGCTTGTATTTTTAATACAAACTTTGTGATTGATCCCTATATGACTTATGATGTTTATTCATGTTCTCACTTAGGATCAAGCCATGCATCATTTCAATTAACATTAAAGCTTCATTCAACATAAGCTTTATGCTTTGTATATCCAAAATTAATCAATTTTATGAGTTGGAGATTTTAACTTTAGGCTTTAGATTCTATTCTTCATCATCCATTCAAGTCAAAGTGCTTGTTGGCACTTAGCTCATTCAAATTCTCCATTGATTATTTAATTTATGCTCAAATTCATCATATGTTCAAAGTCATTTGATTAAAATCCATTTGAGTCCAAGATGATTTCTTTATCATCCAAAAATTAATGTTTGAACCAAGTTTAAGCTTGAGATCATTTTTATTTAGATTCAAGTATCTTATTAATCATTTAAGTTTGGAATATGTTTCATGCAGTCCAAAATAAATTCTAGGTAAATAATGTCCAATATTTGTTCAAATATGAGTATGAGTTCAAGTCCAAGCTCTGAGTTTGAGTTCAAGTCCAAGTTCTTGTCCACCTTGCAAGTTCAAGTCAAGCTCAAGTTCATTTTTTTTAAGTCCTTGTCTTATTTCAGACAAAATTTCGGCACCCTCCCGGTGTCTCCCCCGTTTGAGAGAAAAACTAAGAGGCCGCCTACCCGCCACGTCAATAAAGACGTGCACGATTGGTGTT